AACTAAAGGAGAAAAAATATAGACATTTTAATGTCTTCTCTGTTGAAGTAGTGCAAGATGAGGAAAATGTTGGATCGTCATCTTAGAATCAAAATTATCTCAAATACCTTCCATAAAACTATTGAGCTATGTTTATTTATATGACAATTCCATAGATTCTATTAATGCTCTTTTTTTAATATATCACAACGTGTAATTATTTATCAATTACATAAACATTACATCATTAGTTATTTAATTACCCAAAATGATTACATCTTTATTAATAAGATATTTATTCTTAACCAAATAAATTAAATATGAACTAAGCAAACATGCATTGTACGTTACTTTCACCTACTGTTATAAAAATGTGAATATAAACAATCTTAATTGTTATTATCAAGCAAATAGGAAAGTAATTTTTCAAGAGTTTGTTCGTTGGTTTGATAAGATGACTAATGCTATCAATTTTATTAACACAGCTTGGAACAATGATGTGAAGACGACGAATATTGCAAATTGTTTTCGATATTGCAAGATTTGGTCAAATAAAATTATTAATGTTGAACCAAAAATTGGTGAAAAATGAAGATCATGATCCAGAAGATAATTGTATTTTACCTACCGTTTCCTCAAAATGGGCATTTCAGGCAATCATAACCTTAAATAGTTACTTTGTACAAAAAAAAAAAATGTCAAATGTGGTATGTGCATTGTAAAAAATTAGGGATAACGTTGAGTTTGATTTTGGTGCAATAAAAAAAAAATAAAAGACTTTAGATGCATATTTTGAAAAAGAAGTGAATTGAAAAATATATTATCAAATTAAAAATTTATTAATTTGTATTATCAAATTAAGAATTTAAGCCGTTATTATTTTATATATTCGTTGGAAAATAAAAGATCTCAAAAAATATTATTATCTTATACATTTAACGGGATTGTTAATTTAGTACACTAACTCAAGTCGGGACCGAAGAATTTTATTATTTAAGCAAGATTATTAATTTATTGAACATTCATTTATCAACATTTTATCTTGTTTGTGTTTTATTTTAAGCTTCTTATAATTTAAAATTTAAATTCAAACTTTCATTTTAAGTATACATTTCATATAATTATATGTCACTTATTTCTGTAACATTATAATTTTAGTAACTTATAATGAAACCCGAACGAGCATAGTAAATTCCAAAAGAATAACACTCTTTATCATTATAATGAGGGGCGATGGTAATGTAGTAGTCAAAGTGGAGTATCTAATTGGTATTACATAATTATTAAATAATTAAAAAATTTGTTGATTTGGACGGTGTGGTGTTGAAAACTACAGCAAGTGAGGTTGAATGAGACCCCACCCTGAAAATGGCGAGTTCCATGTTGAAATTTGTTTAAAT